GCAGTGGAGATCTTTTTTAAACGTTGGAACCTCATTTAATTTTATGTCTTATAGAGTTTATAATGAGTAAAAGATTATATAAGGGTAATAATTCATCTGTAAACCTAGAAATGTACAGCCAATTTTGAAAGAGATGTACCCTAGCTCAGAAAAATGTTATTGAATAGGTTAATGCTGTTGTAATGAAATGCTTCTTTTAATTAAAATTAAAAAAATGAAAAAAAAAATCTCCATGCGTTGTTCAAAGATCAGCTGTAAACTGCTAGTAATTATATCATATATCACTGTGTTAGTTACTTTTCTCATTGCTTTGTCAAAATACCTGACAAAATCAATTAAAGGAAGGAAAGGATTATTGTGGCTCAGTTGGAGGTGCAGTCTGTCATTGCAGGAAAGCCATGGTGGAGACAGCAGTGAACGTGGTTCTAGCAGAAAAAAAAAAACCTGAAGGCCTCCTCCATAAGAAATTAACATGAAAATTCTTGAGGGAAGCATAAGAAAATGTTCTGTCTCAAACACTCAAGATCACCTCTATTCAATTTCAACATAGTATGTTCTGTGGAGATCATTAGCACTAGAACTTTCTATCCATATAAAACAAAACATACACTATACCATGGGTCTATGTTAGTCATTATTCCAATCTGCAGCAGCTGGATGTGTCTAGCACCAAGGAATAAAGCCTTAGGTTCCTGGTCTTTATGCTAAAAGCAAACACCTGTGCTGATGAAGTAAGAAAAAGTAGCTTCCATTCTTGATCAGGTGAGATCACTGATACCATCAACATCAACAATAAACACTTTTAGAACTTCCACAGGCACTGTATAAAGAACTGGAATTTTTAAAAACTTGTCAGAATCTTTGTTCTTTGTGCTATACTGCTAGTATTAAAAGTGTTATGTGTGAATATAGTTTCTCTTAAGCTAAAATAGCAGCAGCAACAACAAAACAAGAAACGAAAAAGAAAGCTATCTTGATAGTTATGTGTTGTTTAAAAATTTAACTTGGAAAGCTATGCATGGTAGTACATGCCTGTGGTCCCATAGATGAAGATAAAAACAAAGCCACTGTTCCATCTCCCTACCCCAGACCCTCCCAATTCTGCTCTGATATCATGATGATGTAAATACAATGACTGTTAAGAGTCTTAGTGTACCAGCAATGCCTGGGGTTTAATAGGCAGAGGCAGGAAGATCATGAGTTCAAGGCCAGTTTAGGCTATATAGCAAGTTCCAGGACAGCCTGTGCTACATGAGATCCTGTCTCAAAAACCAAACAAAAAACAAACCACAAAAGGGGAAAAAGATAAGTTGGGAAAAACCCAAGTTGATTTCTAATTTTGTGTATAGTTCACCCATACTTAATAGAACTTAGTTAAGTATAATTAGGCAGATACCCATGAAAAGCTAAGAAAACCAGAAAGCAATGTAGGATGTTTTAAATTTTCTTCATGTTTCTTCACTTTTGTTGGAAATTAGTTTTAGTCATGCTGAATATACTATCGAAACAGACCACACCTGCTTACTTTAGTCCTGTTTGTAAATCCCACATCATTTCATTCTTTCATATAGCTACATTTTATAGTATAATAGATGATGCACTTTTAAAAAGCTAAGTGAATTTTTATCAGTTTAAAAATAGATGAAGATAAAAACAAAGCCACTGTTCCATCTCCCTGCCCTAGACCCTCCCAGTTCTGCTTTGATATCATGATAATGTAAATATAATGACTGTTAAGAGTCTTAGTGTACCAGCAATGCCTGGGGTTTAATAAAATGTGACTGTAGCTGTCTATCTGTGGATTCCACTTTACATTTGAAGTACAGATTTGTTTGCCTTCAAAATTATGTACAGTTTCATGGGAAGTGCACAAGTTCATTCACACTCTCCACCCCCAAACAAAACTAAGATTAAAATTCAGTTTAAGTGTGTAGTATCCAGGCTGAGGAGATGTCTCACTTGGTAAAGTGCTTAAGGCAACCAAGAGAATCTGAATTTGATCCTCAGAACCTACATTAAAAAAAAAAAAAAAAAAGCTAGGGAGTGATGGCATGGGTCGGGGGCGGGGAGACAAGTGGTTCCCTAGATTTCATTGGCCAGCCTGTCTAACCTAATCATTGAGCTCTAGGTTCAGTGAGAGACCCTGTCTCAAAAAATAAGACACAGATTATCTGAGGAAGACGCTTGATGCGTCTGAATTCCACACAGACAACACACTTTATTAAAAATAAACACACACACACACACACACACACACACACACACACACACACACCAAGAAAGAGAGAGAGAGGGAATTATCTAAAGAAGTGTTCTTTCATAAATACAACTTTTACCATTAGTCAACGATTGCCTTATTTCCATTAAGAAAAAAACAGATTACCATTTTGAGACCCCTCATTGAAGAAACATCAAGAAAGGACACTGCTGAAAAATCAAGGATGAGGCTGTGGAGGCTGATTTTGGGGACCAAAATGTTGAGAGGAAGACTGGCATTCCAGTCTATCTCAAAGGGCAGGTCTGTGGTGTTGATGGGCTGGTCCAGTTCTTCTATCTGGTGGTTGTCTAATTCTTCATCAGAGTCTTTTAAGCCATCAGCAGTACATATAAACCCTTTCTGCAAGAGAGGGAGGGTAACAAGTGTGATAATTCTGACTGGAAAAAAATGTGTATATGTCAAGGATAAACCAGGGAGTTTGGAAAGCACAAATTCAAAGTTGAGTCAGCAATAGCATTATAGATGCTTGGTATTTTTATATGTTGGTGCTTTGGTATGTTTTGCCTTTGTACTTTTCCCAGTATAATAAAATTTTAAGGAGGTCCTCAAAGATGCTGTGATGGCTACATTTTAATTGTCAACTTGACAGAACCTAGAATCATTTGGGAAGAAAATCTCAATAATGGATTGTCTAGATCAAGTTGGCCTTGATCTTCAAAGGATTGCCCTAACTATTGTTGATTGATGTGGGAAGACCCAGCCCACTCTGGGTGGCACTGTTCCCTAGGTAGGGGATCCTGAACTGTATAAGAGAGAGCATGCATGCACCCTTTTCTCTCTGCTGTTGGCTGTGGATATGACTACTATGGACTGTTTTCTGATCTCCACATGTGTGCACACACAATAAATAAATATAATTAAAATGATATTAATTAACACATGGAATAGTTTGCTTATTGGCATTACATTTTAAGTCATAGTACTAAGACCTTAAATCATGCTTTACAAAGCTTAAAACACCTGGGAATGTGGTAAGAAAACTTACAGGTGTCACTTGCAGCAGGCCTTGCTTCTGTAGTTTCCGGATTTTCTTCAAAGCTTTGTTGCGCTTGCGTAGAATTCGAAGCGGATTAAAGCCAACCTGAAAGACCATTTACTGTGTTACGGGGGAGTTGAATATTCCACTGCTTACAGGCATGATAGTAAAGAGTAGCTGGGATGGGGCAGGGGGATTGGGACATATATGAATATTTGTGGTAAAATACCAAAGTGATTTAAATGATACCAGTAACAACACTGAGTCAAGCCTACAGTTTGCTTAGTCTGCATGCAACTAGCAAAATTCAAAAAACTTCCATACAGTCCAGGATTTATTCATAAATAATCTGTCAATGGATTTAAATATTATTTGAATTTCTGTTTGGAGTACATACAACTCCTTAGGGGATTTTATTTTCTTTTTGTCAAATATAAGTGACACCTAATTAGAATTTTGTTCCTATGTGTTTTTATTCTATTAAAGCTTATGTAGTTATATTTTATAAAATGTATTCCAATATATTATGGTTTGGGTATACGATTTGGGGCTAACCTTCATTTTCCCCTTTTAAACAAATGTGTTCCTATTACTTCAATATTTAGCTGTAAAGTAACAAGATTGGAGGACCAAATTATACAATACAAAACTTTGGCCAACAATAAAGTTAAATAGAAAGATGTTAGAGTAAGTAAACAGGGCTATTTAGAAAACTCTATGTACAACATGATCCCTTTCTCCTACTTTTAAGATGAAGTCTCATGTAACCCATGCTGGCCTCAGACTTGCTATGTAACCAAGGATCACTGTGAACTTCTGGTCCTTCTGTGTCTAGCTGGGCTCTATCCCCAGCCCCAGCCCAATCCCATTTTTGTACAAAACAAATGAATACCTTGGGTAGAATACTATCTGATACACAAAACACTAATCCATATCATTAGGGCTTAAGGCATAAAGTAGACCAAAGGCAAGTTTTTAAGAGTGAATACTAAGGTTTTGTTTCTTAATCTTGGCCTTTTTACCAGAACATTCAATATTGATTGCTAAGTGCCCATTTACAACTGATATCCTGATCTTGTCAATGATGCAGTCCAATAGCAAATAATTCCACTATTGTTTCTGATGTTGATGCCCCAAGAAAATCTATTAAAAATCAGCTGCCTAATGCCAGGTAGTAAATGTTTGCAGCAGAATCTAAAAGCAAGGATTCCATCTTGAACTTCACATGAAGAAGCTTATTTCTCAACCTATTAATGCAGCCTTTTAAGGTAGTTTCATCTACTCTGGGGCATGTGACACAAAACCCTGACACAATGAAGACTCAACCTATAAGATGTCAATGATCGTGTTAAAGAATAAACATCTCATTCCTAGATTTTCTTCCTTTTCAAAAAATGTTGAACAACCCCAAACCTTACAGCATCGGTAAGTTTCTGCTTAAAGAAACCAATGTTTGCAAAGTAGATTGGAGATGGACATCTGAAAATTTTCACTCCTTCGGGTTCATACATCTACAAGGCAGAGAAGTAACATGGTTAGATGGTTTCCACTGGATTCATAGTGATAACCTTTTAGTGAGTCAAAGACAACAATGAATCTTTCTTACGTCAGAATAATCTTTTCTGTTCTTATAGATGTTGCTCCTTCCAACATTAGCCAGTGTACTGCATTTTGGACTGTAGGGAAAAACAAAGCCAAGTAAATCATTTTTGCATATGCTAAGCCTAACATTGTTTTTCTTTCTATCAAATCAACACAGGCTCAATTTTAAATTTTAAGTGGTGGGGAAATCATATCATTAAAGACCCTGGAGGACAAACACATTGTCTTTGTGTCCCCAGGGCTCCTTAAACAGCTCCTCTCTACAACATCACAATAATTCCCATATACTTTTGCCAGTTTAATTCTAAGCATCACTGTTATTCAGTTAGGTAAGGCCCTATGAGTACCCAATTATATGAAGAAGGACATGGAGAAGAAAAGACTTGCCTATGTGATCATTCAGTTTATCTCTATGTTTAATATATCTCTAGTAAGGAATGCAATCCAGTAAAAATACAAGTATACAAATATAAGAACAATAGAATAAATTCCATGACAGCATATTCCATTAGTCAAGGAATACCTTTAACTGTGATAGCAACTTGTGTTCTAAAACACCTTAGTTTCCAAGAAGTCTTATTTCTCTTTGTAAATATGCCATGTATCCAGCTAGGCTGAGTGACCACATGGTGGTGATATTACCTGTGAAAAATTTAAAAATCACAAAGATGCTTGAACTGGATGATTCTTAAGAATCAAGTACTTCAATTATTTGTAGAATTTTAGGACAGAGGGGACTTTCAGAACTTCTCTGATCCAACTCATCTTGTAAGGTAGAAATATACTCTAAACACTGATGAAGAAGAGGGAGAGACCTCCACTGGTATAGAATTTCACAATCTTCTCAGTAATCCATTCTCCTGTTTAACCAACTTAAGGTAAAGACAGTAAACCTGCTTAGACAGAATCACTTCCTGTTTACAGACTCAGAGATGTACATGATTTCTTTGAGCCCTATATCAAAGCAGAAAGCAGGCAAGTAGTAGCTCTCCTTTTGGAACTGGAATCTAGAGCTGGGCCATTCTATTGCCCTTCAAGCCTTCAGGTAGGTAATTTGAGGGAGGTTATAATGGTCGTTCTTGATAGGTGTGCATGCCTATCAACCACACTACTCTTCTCTTAGTCATTGACAATTATTTTTGCTCTTTCAGTTAGGCAGGCTAAAGCCTGCCAGGTTGCAGAGCACACTGAGCACTTACAATTGGGTCCTGAACACGATAGTTAGGAGTTGAAAGGCCACACTCGCTGCCAGGCCCAACCCAAGTCCCAGGACAACGGCAAAGATGAAAGTCATGATCCAAATAAACTGTAAGAAGAGAAAACAACACACGCACCACTATTTAAGTAAAGTATAATGTCTTAGGTCCAGAGCTAGAGAAAGCATGAATTTCTAGGGCCAAAGGCAGATGTTGGAAGTTGTTATCTTGGGCCAGGGAACAAAGTACTAGGAAGGCATATCTCAAGAGGTCATTTCTGCTGGCTCAGTGCTAAGTCACAGAAACACAAGCAAATAAATAGAAAAAGTTCTATAGAGAGAATGCTCATTTCTGTTCCTGTCCCTGACCAGGTTAAAGAAATGGGATTGAGTCTATCTGTCATAACAAAAATTCCAGAACAGGCCATTCATTAAAAACCAGAAAAATATGGTGCAGGAGAGATGGCTCAGCTGTTGAGAGCACTGGCTGCTTTTGCAGATGACCCAAGGTTCAGTTCCTAGCACCCATATAGCAGCTAACAATGGTCTGTGACTCTAGTTCTAGGGGATCCAATGCCTTTGTCTGGCCTCCATTGTGTGTTGCATGCTTGTGGTACATTTACATGCATACCTGCAGACAAAACACTCATACACATAACATAAAAATAAATAAATAATAAATAGAAAAGAAAAAAGAGCCCCCGCCCCAACAAGTTAGGATTGGGGATGTAGCTCAGTGGTAGAACATTGACCTAGCATGTGCCATGTTGTGGGTTTGATCCTCAGCACTGGAAGGAAAACAAACCAACAAGCAAAACCCAGCAGATTAACAGGGACAGACTGTTCTACTCTTCTCTAGTCCTGTTGATTTAATTAATGGCTACTTTCTCTACAAAACTTTAGTGTGCTGAAAGGGGTTAAAATCCCACACAACGATATAGCAGGAGTAAAAGTTAACCAAATGTAAATTATTACTTTATGTTCTTTTAGTACCATAGGGTATGTTGGCAAGCATTTTTATACCACAGACTTTGACCCTGATTAAATTATAAACTCTGCTTTTGAAAGCAAGGCAAATTGAGAACAAGTGGGAACTTTCCAAAAGAACGAGTATTTGCAGGAGGAATGTCCAGATTTCAAACCTGCACAGAGTCTCTGGAAACTAACACATCATTTAATGAAGAACATAAGGAATACGCACCCTAAAATTTAGAGAGTTCCTCTGGCACTCAGGATGATGACAAGGACTTTAATGACAGAGCTAAGAAAAGCCCCACACTAGTGTTTTGTGAAACATTTTCTACTTGCAGGTGCCTATCCTTTTATTGGTCATTATTTTTGAAACACGACCTCATTCTGTATCTCAGGCTGGCCTCAAACTCATGGTTTTCCTGCCTCAGCTTCCAGAATGCTTAGATTATTGGCATGCACCACCATGCCTAGCTAGACTGCATCGTTTGAAGTTAAAAGTCTCAAATAACCCTCATTAGAATATGTAATTTCAAGAGAGGAAATAAAATTAATTAAGTTTATTTCAATAGACAAATAGAAGCAAAATTTCAGCTTACAATATAAATATACATTTTACATCAGCATTAAATGACCATTCTGATTTTTCATTTTCTCAAAGCCATTGTGTCTACTTACACAATCATATTTATCCTTTCGCCACAATCTGCCTATTTCAGCAAACTGCATCAGCATTCCCTTTAAGTTTCCAAGTGCTAAAGCTGCCAGGACAGACTGTGAAAGACATAAACACCAGATGTACTTTCAGGTTAATCAAATAAACCATATAGAAGCAAAGGTGAAGGCTGTAGATAAGTGAGTCCCTTAGCAGGCCTCAAAGCATATCAAAGGAATACACCCTCTTCCGGTGTGCAATACCATGCCAGACACACCAGGGTTGGGACTCTGACCTGTCCCCCTGCATGAAGTCCCCATCCCAGTGACAAGAGTAGAACTGTTATTTGTGACTAGACTATGCCATAGATGAATTGATAGCACTTAAAGTAGTCTACATCCTGGGAAAGAGAAAGGCAGATCTTAAGGCCTACAATAGGTAAACACTAAATAAATTGTCCCTAAGCAGAGTCAGTCTAATGTGTCTGTTAATTTAAACTGAGGAAATAGGGGTTGCCCTTTATAAAAACAAAGAAATAAATAAATGAAGCTTAGGGAGTTTGAGGCTTTAAAATGAGAACTCAGACCCATGGTGATGACAACTATCATGGCATTTTTAAAAAAAAGACTCTAAGATCACAGAACCATCAGCAAAGATTTGAAGCAGGTTCTGAGACAGCACAAGCCATACCTGCCCTATTCCCAGAACATACTATGGAAAACGCATATAGGGAGGGCTTAAAAATTAGTCGTTGAATGAGTAGATGAGCTAATAAATTCATATTCCCCATATTTATGACCACCCATAACATAACCTCTTAATAAGTCCTGATGTAGACACCATCAAGTGGTGGATTCACTAAGAGGGACTTGGATTGTTAAATCAGCCTGCCACATACTACTCCATACTTCTGATTTTTCATATGCCATAATCAGTCTTGTGGAAAAACATGCTGCATGTATTGCATCATCATTTGGGTTCCTGCCACGTCCCACCCCCCACTTCAAGAGGTTCTGTTCTGAATGCAGTGTTTTGTGTGGTCATAGCTTTCAGGCCATGAAGTCAGTTACCAAAGAAAACCAAACACAACTTCCATCTTTACATCTTGAAGATTGTTTAAATGGCCCAGGTATTTTAACTAATTTTTAAAATTTGTTATTTTTATTTTATGTGTATGAGTGCACTGCATGTAGGTAGGTGCTCCCATATTGTGCAATGCCTGTGGAAGTCAGAAGAGGGTGTCAGTTCCACTGGAACTGGAGTTGCAAATGGTTATCAGCCACCATGTGGTGCTAGGAATTGAACCTGGGGGTCCTCTGCAAGAGCAGCCAGTGCTCTTAACTGCTGAACCATCTCTCCAGCCCCAGCCCAAGTATTTTAAATCCTTAAAAGTACTTTGTATTTTAATATCTACTCAGTTAATTTGATTTCCTGTGAGCGTAGAGGTCATTGTTTAGAAAAAAATATAGTCTTAAGTAATTTTTAAAAGGAACCTGTGTACTAATGAATGCCAGTCAAAAAAAAATGGGGAAAACTGAATAAAATCACTAATTTACTTAACAGTGCTTTCTTTCTTTCTTTTTTTTTTTTTTAGCATCAATGTCCTGCTTTTAATATTGTACTCCAGATATGAGTTGTCACCTCTGTGGTGGTTAATGAAGGGTATATAGGACTCTGAACCCTAGGTTTCCTTGTTCTGCAGAAGTTTAGTATAAAATATGTTGTGACTAGATAGAAACATGTTATATTTTTCTTCAGGAATTATTTCCCAGCTGATCAGTGCTCCATGGAATGATAATTTGAAATGATTTACAATGAAATGACTATGTGACACTGTACTTAATAAAGAGTATGTACAGAGCACTGAGCAGCCACAGACAAGAAAGGGGGGTGGTTTTACCAGACGGGAACTGCTTAGACTCTGACGACACTTGCACTCAGTAACTATTCATTAGTATCCATTATCATGGGCTACTGAGACTTCATAGAATGAAAATAAGCAAAGCCCTTACTCAGCTGGAGTAAAGACAGTTCAGACAGTGATCTACAGAGAGTTTATTGCATGGACTCTGTATAGAAGTTGCTTTGATGAACATCCTAGACAAGGTCCTGGAGTGTGGTTTATTCACCAGAAAGGGTTTTAAATGACAATTGTTTCTTTAGTGTCTACAAATCAATGTGGGAGGGTAGCGCCACATCTACACAAGCAAGGAGCTCACTAGGGCTCTTCTCTATATGAGGGTATGTGATTTTTCTTATCAAGGCACTATTTTCCTATTTCTTCACTGACTCTTTCATGCCATCTGTTTTGAATGTAGGAATTCAGTATATGAAGAGCATACTTTTGGCAAATAGTGCTCTTGAAGATGGAGTTGGTCAATAGGGTCCTTAGAAATGACCACACTGGGAGTCGAGAAACCTGGGGCTGAATACACATTTCAGCTACCAATCAACATGGAAAAGAAAATCTAGATAACAACAAATAGACACGGCTGGGCTCTATCACTGTCTGCATCCTTTGCAGTCAGAAGTATAGCAGAATGCTTGGATAATAATATTCGGATTTTCTTTAATGATCTTAACATCGGTTGAGTACTTTACGTGTATTATCTCACTTAACTGTCACAGCTACTGTGGACGGCAGGCACTATTTCATTCCTGGTTTACATCTAAAGGCTTGAGGTTCAGAAGGGTTAAATCACTGGCCTCAAAGCACACAGATAATAAATGACAGAGCCAAGATTAGAAGTTGGTCACAAGGCTCCTGACCCATTGCTTTATGCCACGCTTTGAAATCCAATTAACACCCCAGAGAACAATGTACTTGTATGACTTCTGCATTGTCTAGAATCTGATGTTGTTTCAAAACATGGATGCTGTGGCAATTAACAAGTGTTAAAACTCTCACAGTTACAAATGGGGAACCCAAGGGCAAAAGGTGAAGTCTGTGTCTGGCTGTTTATTCTCATCCTACAAGCTGACAGTGTTGGTTTTGGAGTGAAACCAATCTTCTAGGAGCTGCAGGGTGTGTTCATACTAACAGGTGTGTAGCTGGTAGCACCATTCTCTGCAGTAGATAGAGGCCCTGATTACCTCAACCTTTCAGAAAAGCTTCACTTTGGTCAATCTAGTCAAAGCTATAGTGCCAGAGCACCTTCCTGCTTACACATTAATTATATTCCACACTACGCATCTGCAAAGAGCAGAGTAGATAAGGCAGCTCAGGATCTGCATTCCTGACATTCATAAAAGGCTGCCAGAAGAAAGGAAATCTTTTGGCTCGTATAGTGTTGGCTAAGGAGAGTATCTGAGAGTTTGTCATGATCTCATTTTCCCTAGCTTAGTTTATGCTTACAGAATTTGAGAGTCAGAGCCCTTGGTTGAGCATCTCAAAGAGAGAAATGCAATCCTGAAAAAGAGGAGGGTTACCTTCTGCAGTGGCTGCAGGAGAAATCCAATGGCTACAATTACAATCAGCACGATGATAGCCGAGATAAGACCAGCGATCTGTGAAGACAAAACAAATCTCATGACAGTTGGCACTGTCCCCTGCCTTGGACTTCCCAATCATGAGCACTACAGCAGCCCTTGCAGCAGGGATGCTGGGATACCTGTGTTTTGCCTCCTGTGCTTTCCTGAACCCCTGATCTGGAGAGGGCTGTGCTCCCTGCAAATCCTTGGAATGCTCCCGTGAATATGTTGCTCACACCCAAGGCGATTAACTCCTGACAGGAGACAAGGGAAAAAGTGTGTCCAGATACGCTGTTTTTCAGAAGAACAGTATGTGCACAACATGCTATTTACAGTTGTGTAGTGGGACCCAGTGTAGGCTGCATGCTCACCTGATTGCCATCAAGTGGATAATCGTATTTGAGGGAATAGACACTAGCGACTGAAAAAGCCACGGCGAAGCCGACGATTGCAATGCCAAAGCAGTCTCCTATGGTGTCCTGGAAAACTTGCACACTGGGTGTAATGGGGGGCTGAAATCTGAAATTGAGAGCAAGCAAAACTATGTGTCACCAGCTTGTTCATAAACTTGTATAATTATAGGGCAAATCAATGAATAAATGCAATCTGGGTTGAATTGTGTTTCACTTTAAAGCATGACATGTAAGAACTTAGTTTCATTGAAAACTTTCGTGTTTTCCCTTCTACTGTTGAAAAGTAATGCTTCTTGGATTTCATAAAGATTATAAAGCCAGTCCAACAACGATGGTGATCTTCATATGATCTTGCCAGGATACCGACATTATGATGTATAGTTTCTGGCAAAATGTCTTAGATTCAACCTATATTGTGTTGATGGGTTTCAAAGCATTACCCTCACTGCTGTGGGTGAAGGCGCTAAGCAAACACAACCTTGAGACAAGGAAAACTTCTCTCCGTTAATGACAGTAACCATTCATGGAAAACTTAACAAGTAGGCTTTGATTTTTGCCTGCACGCTGAGGAACTAGAGTCTACCACATCCAACAAAGAGCAGAGTGTACTTAAAGCTGATAAAAGTTTCAGACATATGTGTACCTCGCAGGGGATATGTCTATGTTCATCCCTCATGAACTTTGCCACATCTCAAACTCAACATCAATTTACAAAAATATTCAGCTTCTGTAAATACCTGTTTCAGACCTGAAACTTACAGGGAGTGAGATAATTGGATCCAGTCAAGTCTGTCTGAATTATTGTTTCATCTTTTGTGTCTTTGATAATAAATGTTCAGTTCTAGTTTTGAAAAAGTACTATGATTCCATACAAATTAGAAAGTTAGATTGAAATATTATTTTTTAAATAAATCTGATGGCAGATATGCAATTAAAGTTTGTTTGTATTTTATACCAAAATAATCAGGAGCCTACAATTCTTTTGTTTTGACTTTTGAATACTACAAAGTGGTATGATAGAGTTTATAGTCCAAAGACTTCATTCCCTAGCTCTGCCCCTTACTCTCCCTGAGCCTGGTTCCTCATTTGCCAAATGAAGATAACAAGACTTGCTCTCTTGTCTTCATAGTTTTGTGGGAAAGTAAACTAAAATAATGAATACAAGTACTGCACACCGTGAAAGAGCCTGCCAGCCATCATTGTAGGGTCCCCTGGAATCTAAACGTAGCCTCTGCATTTTTCCTTTGTCCTTTCAAGCACTTCCCTTGGGCCATGTTGTTCACATTTATCATGTGAGTGTGTGACTTCACAAAGTAACCTCTAAGCTGGCATATGCATTAGTAGAAAACTAGCAAGAATTAATAATCATTATCTTCTAGTAATATTCTATTTGTAGGCAGTAATATTCACAAGCAACAAAAATTTAAAACGTTCACTTAGAAAAAATGGCATGTAATAAGTCATATCAAGTGCCTTGAACCTAATTTAGGTGCTGAATTAGTAATAGTATTAATGGTTGAACTCTAATTACGGGTCTGGCACTTAACACACCATATGTAAAAACTCATTTAGTGCATCCAAGAATCCTTGTGATGACTATTATTTTTAGCCCCATTTTTATAACCAAGTGCATTGAGGAATAGTTTAGTAGATGTTCCCCAGGATAGGAGGTGAGTCTAAGTGAATTTCAGGTGTTCTGTAGCTGGAACCCTAAGCATGTCTATCTACTCGGTCATACTGCCTCTCTGGAGAGTTCATGGTTGATAAATGTGAGCTACCTCCTTCCCCACCCCATACACTTGGTGGGATAAGTACATGGGTATTTAATATATTTACTAAATAAGGCCTCTAGGATTATCACTCAATGATCTTAAGTTTATCATTTATTTTCAAAACCTTTCCACTTCTGACAAGATCCTCTTTGATTTTGCATTTGTTTATTTATTTCTCAATTTGGCTTATGTCTTCTAAGACATTTAAATAAAATGTAATCACTTGAAAATTTCAGGGTGGAGGGAAACCCCAGAAACAGACTTACTCTCAGCCTAGTTTCCACTTCACAGCTGTTTAAAATTAAAACTATATTTTGATTTATTAAGTGGAACACATGACGATGTGATGATAAATATATAATTATATAAATGTATATTACTTTAAAAAACAACACATATCTTCTGGTTTCCACAGACATTGCACATGTGGTGCATTTACATGCAGGCAACACACATAAGAGGAAATAAATAAATAAAATAAATTTTAAAAAGAATTCAGTGGAGCCAGGCGTGGTGGCGCACACCTGTAGTCCCAGCACTTGGGAGGCAGAGGCAGGCAGATCTCTGTGAGTTTAAGGCCAGCCTAGTCTACATAGTGAGTTCCAGGACAGCTGGGGCTACAGAGAGACCCTGTCTCAAAACGACAAAAAAAAAAAAAAAAAAAAAAAAAAAAAATCAGCTATTTTAAGACATAAATAGAGAGTGGTGTCTATATATGATTTCTGTAATTTTCAAGTGCTTGTTAAGCTGGAGAGAGGGAAACAGGCTTTATTTTAACAGGAAAATAATCTTTTCTTGCTGGAAAATACCTGTGATCAGAGATCAGAGAGAAAATGGAACAAAGGCCCAGTCTCTGCCTTCAACCCCCTAAGTGTATGGGGACACACTTAGAGATTCTGGTACCCTGGTTTCTCACCCTTCTGCAGCTGAAGTTGCTCCAGCTTTGCTCTAAATGTGATCTCAAGCAAGGACGGAGTGTGCCTGGACCGCTCAGGTGGTGTGCCCTCCCAGTGTCTCTTGGAACTTGGCTCCAGTGACCTCAAACAAAGTGTTGTTTACAGTAACTTCTGGACCAGGAAATCTGATTTCAGTTGAGGCTTCTTTATAAGAAGTTTGTTGTGCCTATTGTTTGAACTTTCACAGTTTTCCTAATTTTCACTTTCTCTTGAGTCCTTGATTGCTTCGTTTGTGAGCTTTTCTGCAAGAAGAATCTTTCTAAGAACTGTGGGGCTGTGGGGCTTGGCTTTTTTTTTTTTTTTTTTAACTGCTTCCTCAAGGGGGTTGTATGTTTCCTGTCACTACAGATCACTTATTCGATTGGGTGCCCGGAGATGCCAGTTTTGAAGACTCACTTACCCAAGACTCATGTTCCCAATCACGGCCACGTTAAACTTCTGCTCAAAGTTACAACCGTAGGATACACCTGCGGCAATCACAGTCTGCAAATTTCCAAATTGCCTGTTAGAATGTGAGATGCAACTAAGAGCCTTACTTTGAAAACAGATACCATTGCCAAAACCCCATAGCCACCTACTAAATAAGAATCTCAGGCTGGTGACATGGCTCAATGGGTAAAACCACTTGCTACCAAGCCTGACGACCTGAGTTTCATCCCCAGGCCCACATGGTGGAAGAAGAGAACCAACTCCTAAAAGTTGCCTCTGACCTTCACATATGTGCTATGGCATCCCACCAAAATAAGTAAACAAATGTAATAAAAACTATTTTAAAAATCTCTAGCCTAGGCTTAGTTATGGTTTAAGAAGTCCCATCACCACTGGGGTGGAGAATTGAAGCTCAAGGTCAAGTGCATCTTTTTTATAGTGTGGTTTTAGAGCTCTTGGTATACACTCCTTAGAAAGAACAAGCCCAGAAAATGAGAGGAAGTTATTAAATTCTGAGAGAAGAGAAATTCATACTAAACCCAGAAACTGAAGAAATATCATCAGCTGCCTCCCTGAAAACTGGTCTACAGACTGTGAAGAGGTTTCTGCATAAAAACACTAGACTGAAAAAATGATCTATCAATTACCACAATGAGCTCGATGGGGATAGGTACTGGAAGCTTGTTTTTGTAGCGCTGATTGATTTCTTTAAACACAAAGACAACCAGTAGGATGATCACAGATGTCACAAGGTCTGCAATGTTAGTCTTCTCAATTTGGGTGAAGATGGACTCCAAGACCTACCGTTAAAAACAAAAGCACCCATGTCCCATATGAATGAGCAATTTGAACACCGCATTTATCTCCAAATAGATTAAGACAGACGCTGAAGAAAAAGACTGGCATAGAGCAGTAGCCTTTCTCTGTTCCACTCCTGTTCTCCAGGAACCCTGAAACTCTAGAGACCATCATGAAGCCACAAGGAGGGTAAATCAGCCTACTACACAACACTGGCTTAGGAATGTTTCTGTCATTTTTTTCTGAGAAGCTGTTTGGCTACTGTCAAATTTTGTTTGGTATTCTTCATATTTTTGCAACAGATCTCTCCTGGTCCAAGGTCTCTTTGGCTTTTTTGTTTTGTTTTGTTGCACGATACTAAAAGCCAGAGCTTCACACATCCAGGGACATTGTTTTTCATTTCAGAATGTGAAATACTGTGAGATTATTTTCCTGACCAAGGAATAACTTCTAAACTCTGAATGTCTGTATTTGTTTTAAGCATATGCCCCCCTTAAATCTTGGCATTTTTCTAGTGCAGGCCCCTCATATTTCTTAGCTGATTGTCTGGGTCACATTGAAAATTGAGACTACCTGCACTATGTAGTCTTACTTCTTAAAGCCAATTGGATTGTCAGTCCACAGGCCCAGGACAGCTCAGGATTTCTCTAGTTGGATTTCACACCCCAGTTTTGGAGTAGTTCTGTGTGGGAGGGAGACTATTTGGAGCAAGTTTTGGCTCAGACTCCCAAACACTATGGACAGAAGGACTGAGGACACTGTCTGTTGTTAAATAAACTGATGGAGAGTCTCGGTTTTATACTGAACTAGGCCCCAACAGGCCAGACCAAAACAAAATGGTGTCACTCATGTCAACCGAGATGAAACTTTAAGGAAGCAGATGGATCCGAAACACAACAGTTTTAGATCCCAGTCTAAATTAACCTAATAAGGTATTTAACTCTGCTTTAACCCTTACTGGGATGGAATTTAGGGAGGGACAGCACTCTGTCACTAACCAGTCAGGTTTTTATTCTCGTTTGTTTTTCTGTTATCTGGTTCCCACATCATCAAATCCACTGTTCTGCTATTTTCCAGTGGGGTTTAAATAAACTAAGTCCATTTATATTGGCAACAGAGAGTGATGTGTGTCCAAAGTTCTGGTTAATCTCTCAAAATCAAAAAGTTGATCAAAGGGGGAAAATTAAGTATGGCCCAAAGCTGTCTCCACACATTTCAATTTGGCCCAAAATTTTCTCCATACACAGTAACCTAACTTGATGAGTAACCATGATGAAACCTTCTCTTGGAACAAGGAGCTGAGTCTCAGCCAATCAGGAGTGGCTAACTGCTTGAACACTATTCAAATAAGAAAGGCATGAGCTGCAGCCATTCAACTGCCTCAGTATCTGCCACAGATATGTTCTGTCACTTCATTTGCTCTGTCTATAAATGTAACCAAGCCATGTGCTGAGTGGAGCATTCCCAACCATTTTTTTCTCCAGACTTCTGCTTGATTCTAGAATTACAAATAAAACCCAAACTAGCTTTGCTGTAATGTTGTCTTTTGACACTTCTACTTTTCACTCTCTAGAGGACAGAACCACAACCCTAACTGCCTGTTCAATTTATAACCAAGGGGTAGGAAGGACTCAGAAATATCAATACCGAGAGCAGAGGATGTAGTTCAGAGACAGAGTGCTTGCCTACCATGTGGTAGGGCCTGGGTTTGGTCTCCAGCATCACTAAACCCAAAACAAAACCTTAAAAAAAAACCCTCAAGACAAAATAGTAAAGCTTTTAATAATATACTTAGATTATATTTTTTCTTCTTGACTCTCTGAAAGTCTACTGTATAGCCACACTTCTTGAACCCTGATGAGGTAGATATGGTTGACTTTCACTGTTGTTTTCTTTGCTAGCTTTTCCCCACTGTGAATCAATTTCACAAACCATTGATTTTGTGGAATTTCTAGGTAGACCCCTCAGCAAAGATATTAAAAGAAGATTCTTCAAGGAACTCAAGAGTGACCTTCATGCACTTCAGTGTTTTCTTAAGTGAAAATAATACTCACTTTGAAAATCGAGAATGGGTCAGTGTGTGCCGGAACTGTCAGCTGCAGCATGAATTTGAGTTGGGAAACCAAAACATGAATAGCAGCGGCTGTGGTGAAGCCACTGATTAGGGACTCGGATAGGTATATCACTACAAATCCAATCTTCAGAACCCCCAGGAGCAACTGTAAAGAGAAGGACATAGCCTTGGACAACAAAGATTAGGAGTATGCCTCCACGAACTGGAGGATCCACAGCTGAAGCCGGTCAGCCTGTGCGCATAGGCCTTGGCACACTGCCCATCAGGATTCCTCTTTTTCCATCCCTTCCCTCAGGTTGAACAGTACATACGTTCAGTATGCCCCCCAGGAAGTATCAGACTTTAAGTGCGGTTTCTTTAGAAGACTCGTCGTAAGCCTTTTATAGCCAAAGCTTATCTAGCATCAGTCCTCATGAATTTGTTGTTGGATTATGCACAGGTGAGTGCTTATTTATATTTCCCTAAACAAGTTGCTTGACTGGGGCTGGTAAAATGGCTTAGAGGATTAAAGTACTTGCTGCCATGCCAAACAAGCTGAGTTGGACCCCCAGGACCCTCACAATGGAAGGAGATAATTGACTCCTACAAGCTGGTTCTCTCTATCTCTCTCTCTCTCAGAGTAAATAAATAAATAATAAATATTAACAACAAGAAAATAAATATGTGGCTGCATATTGGATATCAGAAGTGCTCAGTAAGGAGACAAGTGTGCTTATTTCTCCCAGAGCATAATTAATAAGTATATTAAGTGGATTCTCTTTCCTCTAGACACTTCGCCTGCTTTTCCATTCATGTGTCTAGAATGCAGATAGAACTCTGTGCACACAAAGTCCAAATTGGGTTCTGCTTCTGCATTAAGTTTATAAGTGTTCTAGAACCAACTGACACATGGTTTGTCACAAGGATACACACTTCTGTCCTTATAAAATTAAGTTTTCCTTTCTTTTAGAAATGATTTTAACTAATAATATCACTGACTGTACACTAAAGCGATATCTTGAAAAATTCATGACTTTTTCACTACTCATAGTGGTGTCAGCATTGGGCCCAGGAATGAAGATTTAGCCCCACTGCAATCCTTTCCAGTTTTCTTTCTAAATCTTTGATATGAATAGTTAAAAAGGCAAAGTCCCCATACCTTCCAACTAAATTATAGTTCTTGAGGAATTAGAAAGAAAAAAGATTCCAAGCTACTTATGTCATTATATAGCTATGTTTAATGACTTTTGTTGAATTAAGCATTTCTTTCTTGGCCATGCCTACCTCACTCCTGCCCTTTTCCCATTCTATCTAGATCCTGCTCACCTGTTTTTGTGATGTGGATCTGCCCCTCAGCTTTACTCTTCTGGTTATGGTGAATAACCCTTCTTAAATACTTCCTATGGCCCACCAGTGGAGGGACGCTAACCAAAGGGAAGATGAGGAGGGACAGCAGGAGGGAGAGGATATGGAAAGGGATGTACCAGCCAAGACAGATTTTGGTAGGCAATTATGTGAGGATAGTGCTCACCTGAATGATTCCAGAAAGAACTGTGATTGATGCAGCCACCATTATCTTTCTCTGATCATCTACTGTCCCGTTTTCTGCTGAGCCTGTGGACAGTTCTGCAGTGGCACCGGCATCTGAGGCTACTCTTGCAACTGCTGCTCCTACCATCATACTCAGAACTGGAAAGGGACCTTATTGACAGGAGGCAAAGTATAGTCAGTGTGTGCATCCCTAAAGCAGAGTTGTCTTTCAACCATAATATTGCATACAACAAGCTATCATGTACAGCCTGCCTTGGTCTTATTTCTTTAAAAATTTTTTGAATTATTTATTTTTATTTTATGCATATGAATGTCTTGTCTGCATGTATATAAGTGTACCCATGTTGTGCAATGCCCACAAAGGCCAGAAGAGGGCATCAGATTCCCTGCAACTGGAGTTATGGATGGTTATTAGCCACCCTGTGGGTGCTGGGAACTGAACCTGGGTCCTCTGCAAGAGCACCCAGCACCCTTAACTGCTGAGCCATCTCTACAGCCCCTTTAGTTTTAATTCTTATAGGAAATTATGAGTCTTCTGAATTATGAACAATCTGGAATTTACAATGAGTTTCTAATAGCATTCATAAAGAAGAAGTGATATGATCATGAACTGGCCCAGTAATTGACTTACCCACAGATATGTGTCTGGAAGTGCCCAAGAAAAAGTAGGTTATGACTGGGAAAAAGGCTGCATACAACCCATAGCCTGGAGGAATGGTGACCAGCAAAGCAAATGCTAAACCTGTAAACACAAGCATCAGGAGCCTTATTTTTCATTAGATTCTTCTAGTCTCCAGATTGGGCCTTTGAAATAAGTTACTATATTAGTTCAAGCTATATTAAAGGTATAACTATGAGAACTAAAACTATCAACTGCTTAGGAGAAAGCATAAGTATAAATTTTTGCAACCTTGTATTAGCCAATAGTCTCTTAGCAATGACACACTGCACTTACAGAATAAATAATCAAAGAAACAAAAATTGATTTTGTGAAAATTTAAAAATGTTGAGTTGGGAGTGTGGATCAGTAGAAGGATGCTTTTGGAGAGTACTAGCATATGGGAAGTCCTGGGTTTGTTCACAGAAATGAAAAAAGTATACTCAAAAGATACTGTCAAAATAGTGAACCGGGGTTTTAGCTTAGTGGTACAACATTTGCACAGCATGCAGGATGCCTTAGGTTGAATCCCTAGTACTGCAAAATAAGATCTGGGGAGTCGGGCTATAGCTCAATGGTAGTGTATTTGCCTAGCATTGTGTGAGGCTCTGAGTTCAATCCATTCTCCCCTAACACACACACACACACACACACACACACATGCATGCACACACACACATACACACACATGCATGCACACACACACATACACACACACATGCACACACACACACTCCTATTAAAAACACAGGCAATGGCTATAATGGGTCATTTTTTAGGTTGGGCATGGTGGTACATGCTTGTAATCCTAGCATTTGGGAGGTGGAGGAAAGATGATCAGGAGTTTGAGGTCAGCCTAAGCTACATGAGGTCCTATCTCAGTCCCACTCATTCCAATTTTATAAGCAGAAAGTGAAACAGCAGCACACAGAATGAAAAATGTTATCTGCAAATAATATTAGATAAAGATTAGTATCAGGAGAATATAAATGACACTTGCAACTATAAAATAAAAGACAGCACCCCTCCCCCCTTTTTTTGAGACAGAGTCTTGTATATCCCAGGCTGGCCTCAAACTCACTATCTAGTCAAACTTCTGCCCTTCTGCTTCTACCTCCTGAATGCGGGGATTACAGGCACATACCATCATGCCTGACTCATGTTGATGGGTGATGGAACTCAGGGCTTTGTACATATTAGGTAAGCACTCTACCAACTGAGCCACATCTCTATCCCTGAAAACCCAATTTTTAAAAGATAATGAGAACTTGCACAGCATGGATGCCTTAGGTTGAATCCCTAGTACTGCAAAATAAGGTAGGGGGAGCTGAGCTGGGGGCCTATTTAAAGACCCATTTTTCCAAAGACATGCAATTGAAAATGAACATGTGAAAAGAACAGATACATAACATTATTAGTTATTGGTCAAATATAAATCCAAACAATGAGATACTACTTATCAGCTAAGATAAAAAAGATGAACAATAGAAAGCAGTAGAGATGTGTCAACATCTGAAGTCACATACACTGCTAATGGGAATGTAAACTGCAGCTATGGGAGAAAACAATTTGGCAGTTCTACAAGTGATTAAATATAGAATTATCATAGGATCTGGGATTTACACTGCTAGGGATACACCCAGGTAGTTTAAACATGTTTACACAAAACTTGCACACAAATATTCATAATAGCACTATTCAAATATTCAGCAAAGTATGGTATCTCCATACAATAAAGTATCATTGTCTGAGTCACAATATGGATTAGCCTGGAAAACATTATATACTAAGAGGTAAGACACAAAGTGCACATATTATACAATTCCATTTCTAAGAAATATCCATAATAGGGAATCCAGACAATTGGAATGTTAATCAAGGGAATGAGAGGAGGAAGGAATGTGAAGTGTCAATCAAAGGGCAAGGGATTTGGGGTGTGTATATGTGGGGGGGAGAGAGAGAAAGAGAGAGAGAGAGAGAGGTGAAAATGTTCTAGAGTTAGTGATGTTAGATGCACAACCTGCTGAATATATTAAGCACCACAAAACTATACCTATCAATAAAGGGTGACTGGTCACATAGATTGGTGGAGGAATGCATGCCTAATATGCATGAAGCCCTAGGTTTGATATCCAGCACCACACATGTGTATGCATACATATACACACATTAAAAAATTGTAAAGGGGAATTTTATGATGAATGAATTGTACAGAGAAAAGAAGACAGTCACCTTGCAGTACCGCCACCAGTCCTGTGCTGATTCCAGAGACGATGTCACTCAGCAGCCATTCCTTCACTCTGTATGCTGGCAGCCAAGATGCTATGGGGAACAACGACAGGAAAATCTTCTTGGCCTTCTGTGTGGAACACCTGGAAACATTGGAAATCACAGGTCAGTGAATTCATACCAAATTTGTAAGTTTGGTTCCTAATGATAGGTAGAAAATTGGTAAAGAATGACAACAAAATCAACTAAGCAATTTCACTCACTAACCTTCACATCTTTCCCACATCAAATGTTCTCTGGTCACTATCAAAGAATTTTTTTTTAAATGCCAGCTTTTCTTCAGTTATAGTAGAACGTCTTCTGTGTCATCCTTAGCTTGAGCTGTGTAACACTGAGAATTCACTTCTGTCCCCATCTCTTAACTGTCTGACTCAGAAAGATGATGCAGATAGTTGAGGTGGTGTGTGCCTTTTAGATTATCTTTGTACCTCACGCAGGGAGTAAGAAGTTTGAAAAGTGAAAATCAAAAGATCTCGGAGTTATGGACTAGAGCCAGAAAGCTAGAAAATTTAGGAGAAATTGCTTCATTTCTTCCTCATTCCAGGACCTTAAAAAAAAGTCTCTTACCTACAATAATTTTTGAGATGATACAGAAATGTCTTGTGATGTCTGGGCGTCTTCTTATGCTCTTCTCCAAAAGCGTTTACAGAATACACCGGCCTGGCCACCACATACTGATTCCCTATGGGTTCGATCATTTTGCTTTCTCTTGGGACCCTGGCGAGGAAGGCCTTTGGAACTATGTGGTGAACACTTCTTGCCTTTTACAGATTAAAAATGCCTGAAACCAAACAGAGCTTGCTTCTTAAATAACTCAGAGATAATGTGATGCAATTTACAGATGAGTGAGCTCCGAACTGAATGTTACCACCTTTTGAGATCAAAAGAGGCAGAATGAAGGAACCTGGACTGTGTTTTGCCACAGAAATACCACTTTTCTTCCAATGAGCTGGGCATAATTCCTTCTTATAAGAAAATGAGACATTATTTTTTTAAAGGTAGCCAAAAAACAGTGAAGTTGACTCAGTTTACTAATCATTCTTGAGATCAACTTCTCAACTTGTTTTTCTCTTGAAATGTTTCCAAAGTTATCGTACTGGCATAGTGGGGCAGGTGAAATCCTATTTACAGACCCTAATTCCAAACAAGGTGTTTCTAATTTACTCATAATAATTGATTAAATAATATCTCATAAAATGTTTTTAATTTGTGAAATTCAAGTACATTGTTAATTTGTTTTCTTATAGTTCCTGGGAGTCAGAGCCTTACAATTTATAGTCGAAGAAACTGTGTACAGACGAAGCATGCCTTGTTTACTTAGTTCATGAGTAACAAGGTCCTTTTGAAGGAAAAATCTCAGGCAACTTCCTTAACATCTTTGAGCTTCCTTTATATAATTGGGATAATGATGCCCCCATTTCAAGGTGATTATGACGATTTAGTGAGAATGTTTTCAAAACTTCTACTAACGTGTCTGGCATGTTACAAGCATTCAACACATGGTAGCTATGATTTTTAACAGTCAACATTTTCTGGGGCTGGGAGAGCATTGGCATAAACAAGGCCAGGGGTTCAATTCCAAGTACCACCAAATAAATAAGCAAATAAATAAATAAATAAATAGCATTTTCTGCACAAGGTGCCTAAATTTTTATTCATATCAATTTTCTTTTTATTATTCTTTTTTATTTCTATTATTCTTAAAAGATCACTTTATAAAATCCTAATTTATCACTCACAGTTCTTTGAGGCATTTACTATTATTTACTATTATTGTTATTTTCATCTTCCAAATGAGAAAATTGTGTACACTCTCACCCTTTGCCAAAATCTAAGTGCCTTTTCTTCACACAGCTAATCGTGTCAAACATAGGACTTCCCTTTTCAGACTTTCCTATTTCTTCTGTGACATGCAGTTTATTGTCCAGTCTGAACATAACTGAGGACAAGTTTGTTAGCATTTCTCCTCCTAATCCCAGTTCTGCCTAACTGCCCAGAATGCCCAGTTTTGTTCCCTGACTTAAATCACAGTGATTAATAGAATTATCTCATGCTAGATTGTATCTTGTTACATGGCGCTCTCCTACCACAAAGTATTTCCAGCATGTTTGCAGAACACAAAGTCTAATAGGAATCAGAGCCAGGTCCAGTTCTCGGCCTCACCTGACCTCTCTTTGACCATCCGCCTTTCCTTCCCATGACAATTTCTTCACATCGTCACCATTCTCTGTGAATTAGCCTCTGATCGACAGCCTGTGCCTCATCCTTAGTGTAACCCCTAGGATCTCAGACCCTTTGGGGTTTAGAGTGACTTTTAGACATTCTTTTGTTCTTCTTTCTGAGTGTCCCCCTGACTTGCCATCTCTCATCTTTACCCCTCTTTCATCTTTCCCTCCTTACTTCTAAGAGTCCTACCTTACAAACCCCAACTCTGCCTCTAACAGAACTTGCTTGTGGAGTGGACTTGGCTTGATAATTGCACCAAATAGCATGGTTTTTGGTTGATTGGTTTTGGCCTTTTGACAATATCCAACAGTGTGGCTGGGGCATTAGCCCTTAAGATCAATCTGTGGCCAATGGTTCCTGATGTCATGGATTTGTTGCAAAGGCTGTCTGGAGTGTCTTTCCAGATCAGCTCCAATCATGTGAGGAGTCTAACCTGGTCAGCCTAAGGATGAGGAAGACTCACTGTGTTTCTGTTTCGCCAGATACTGCTGTGGGCAACAAAAAGGAAAATAATTCATTGATTTGGTTGCTTTATTTGTATTTCACACTGAGGTGTTCCCAGAAACTTACTAGCTCTCTTCCCTTAAAAAGACCCTGATAGTGCATCTTTCTTTTGACCATTTTATTTTCTCTCTGCCAAGCCATGGTTTTATCTATCTATTTATTTATTTATTTATTTATTTATTCACTCATCTATCCATTCATATATATTTGGCAGTGATAATGATGGCAGAAATAACTTCTTACTTAGTCCCATCCCTGGACAGTACCATGCTAGCTCCTTAATGCCCTCCTTCATACTGCCAGATAGATCAAGAGCCTGAACTCTCTCCTTGCTGCACACTGTGAAAACTTCCTCTTCACAGAGCATAGTGACAGGGGTGTGCTCCAGGGCAGGGATTAGAGCACTTAAGAAATCTTTCCAGAACTTAGAGACCTTGAGAACTAGATTCCAGTCTTTTCCCCAAGTTGCCCTCCTGACCAAAAACTGCCACTTCACATTCCAAAGGCAGCAAGTAACATGAGCTCTGAGCCACTCACTGGATGGAGCCTCCATGGAATGGGCTCCAGATAGTCTTAAGAACAGGGCATTCATCATTTCTCACTTCTTGGGAGCAACTTGCTTTTTAGTTAAGAATTTAAGTGATTTTGTTAACTTGCTTTTCGCTTATGCAGTTCACTTTTTTTCCAGAGATTCTTGGAGAAAAAACTATTTCTGGTTCCTGGAATCCATGCTTCCAGTTCAAATATTACACCAACAGTAATGCTTTTTCGTTCTGTTTTGTCTTTGTGGCTCAGTTTTCCTCTATGTTCCTTAAAGTGTCACTGGCTTTGGGGAACTGAAATTCAGTTTGGGGATACTTACTCTCATTAATTTTGGAACTTTGAGACTTATTTGCAAACGTTTTCATTTTTATTTACTTTCCCATGTTACATGCTTTTAATTTTTTGGCATTATGATATCTATTAAATATATATAAACACACATGTATGTATACATAGATCTATTTGCCTTGGTGCCAGGTCCTAATTATTCTCATTTATCATTCTCTGATTCTTTAATTCTAGAGTTTATTTCTGAAGTCCAGTTTCTCAATTGAGTGATTCCAATTTATTGATAATATTTTGATATCTCCAGAGATTGTCAGGCACACACTCCTTCCCCACCTCTCCAAGTTCTACCTATTTATGACCAGCAGCCTGAGCATTAGCATAGTCTCACTTCCAGTCACCTGGGTGCCTCCACTCTGCCTGTTCTTCTCTGCAAAGAGGTGTCTTAGGGCCCTGACCTTTCCACTGCTCAGCATTTATCTAGTCTTCTGGCCTCAGAGCTCTGTCCTTTCTACTGGAAAACAACTCGTTTGGACCAAAATGCTCATCAGAGACACTAACAATTGCATTTAATTGCAACCAGGAGGCAAGTGATGTGTAGAGCATTTCCTGGCTTCTCAGTCACAAGGTGCCTTCTCTCTTATACAAGGAAGCTCTCAGTCATCAGGAATGTCTTCTTGGAGACATCACTGAAAAGGGCACACTTTGTCTGGCATTGGCTGAAAACACTACTCTTTCCATGTATCTCAAAATACCCACGTGCCAGTCAATGGAGAACCAGAGGTAAGCCAGTCCTATTCCATGAATTAGTCTTTGGAAAAGGGGAATGCATAGTGTTAGGAAATCTGTATTTGTGGAGGGGGATGAGAGAAGGGAGAGCAAGCAGAACCTATGAAAAAACTGCCAGAGAGGACCCAGAATCAAGGACACAAAAGGCCCTCATTATGGCCAGTGTGAGGCAAGATGCAATCAGAGAATGATAGTGTAAATGTCAGAGATGCCAAGTGGTGGTCAGGAGTGACTAGTGGGGAACAGAGGAAGGTTTAGCGGGGATGTTAGTAAGAACAACTCAGAAGGGGACACAGTCTGGGGTGAGCAATCATTTTCCCATTGAAAGGTGTGATTCTCTTGGCTTTCACTTGCTTTTGAAGCACAGTGGGTAACTAATTAATCTATGTTTTTGATGTATACCTGCACTAGTTCTTTAGGAGAAATAAATAAATTATCTGCTATTATTTAAAACATGAAAAATATTTGTGTGGGTTTTTTACTTGCCATTCGGTGATGATTGCTTTAAGGTCATTAGCACCTCATAAATACGTGCAAGATTACTTGAAAACTAGAATCATTTCAAGTAAACAGAATTAATAATAAGATACGTTTAAAGGACAGAACTAGAATGAGGATCCTGAGGGTGAGGGAGCACTTTCCCCAGGTGTGCAGGGTATGACGGCTACAAATGAGTTTCTTTTTCTCACTTTGGCCATATTTATGTGGCTAACTCACAGATCTCAGTTCAGTGTCCATAGTGGGTAGGTGCAGGCATACCATATGCCTTGCATTGCTAGTTTAGGAATCTGCTTATGTTTCTTATCTAATATGTTGTGGGGTTTTATGTTTTTTTGTTTTTTGAGACAGGGTCTTCCTATAGCTCCAGCTGGCCTGAAACGCATGGCTGTTTTCTTATTTTTAAAAGGAAGAAGTCATTTTTCTCTCCATTATAAAGGCTGTTGTCAAGGTTAGCTAAGACATATAAACAGAGACTTCTTGACCTTGATTTTCTAGATAACAGTTTAAGGCTGAGTTTGACAGTATAGATCCAATTTGCAACTCTGTGTATGTAACAAAATCATCCATCACCTGTTGGAAAAATTCTATGATTTCATGTTCACTCTGAACTTATCTCCAAAAAAGTAGAAGTTTTACATTCTCACCTCAATTGAACATAACTTTTAAAGAATCTACTATATAAGCTTTTAAGCATAGTAGATTTTTAGCATGCAAGACCTTTGAAATTTTGACTGTGATTTATCATACAAACATCTTTTGTATTCCTTTACCACAATTATAGCAATACAATCCTAAAACACCATAAATTTAACATCTCCTATGTCTTTGCCCACATTGTTTTCATTATTGA